CCCCAATCTGGTTCTTCTGGGTGCAACTTTTATTGAGGTCATGCTATTTAGGTCCGATGCCATCAAAATATATGATTCATAGAGAGAATGTGCACAAAGCCCACAATAATTCGCTTCATGCGGGACGCGTCCCCTCTCCAAGAGTGCCGCTTCTCCTGCCAGTTTCGCACCTCTCGTCCACATCATCACACTTTAGGCGTGCTGAAACGCATCAGTACGCTACAGCATTCCTTGACCAAGTCCACCTGTGCCAGTGTGACAAAAATTCCCATTTTATGACCCTGCCTGAGGGGGACAGCCGGGCGGGACGGCTTTGAAAAATCACATTAGACCACTTTCTTTTATCGGCACTCTACCGACTATCGGTTGGCCTTATCAAACATTTGCATCCGCTACGTCGCTTCAACACATTTGCGTTCAACCGCGTTAGCACTAGACACACCTTTTTCCACCACCGCTCAGACCAGGCTTCCCCCCTCTGGCGGTCAAGCCTCTGAGAGGGACCGCGACAGTGCACCCACTCGTCTGTGCTCTCCTAAAACTCATCTACCGATCATCATCCAGTTGGCCTGGCAACCTGCTTGCTTGGGGCGACGCGACAGCTGATAAAGCCTTATTCGTCATATCTCTCCGCTCTTTAGCCAGACTCTGATGTAAATACCTGACCACGATTGCGCAGGATCACCACTTGCACTGGTGAATATGTTGACACCACCGTCCTCCTTTCTGTCGTCGAATAGGGAACGTGTTAGGGAAAACCTGAGGGAGATAAGATTTATCAGATGACTCAGTGGTTGTTTCCACATCTATTCACATTGCTGGGCCCTAGTTATCCTAATTCGCGCAAGGCGATGGTTGAACTGGCTCACGAAAAGGAATTCCAATCTAAACAGGAGTGCAATACAGTTTCGACCTCGCCTGAACTGGTTTGATTATCACTCCCAAAGGGAGTCGAACTGAGGCATTACAGAATACATTCTCGACATGGTACCACTTCGCTACACTGCAATTGGTACCATTGGGTCACAAGACACGCGTGAAATTTAAGACAAGCCAGACTTCTACATCTCACACTTTTTCAGTGGGATTTACGAAGAGGCAAATTTCTATTTTAAATTAAAGTCTAGTCGGCCTAGATCATACAAGGTGATGGAGTACGGATAGGACAATTTCCCACAGTAGTTTGAGTAGTCTTGATTCCGGAAGGTATTTTTTATCTCCATCGGACTGGACTCCAGTTTTGACCTCGTCTCGGTCTGATCAGCACCTCAGGCAGCCATCCAACCGGCGTATTGCTAATGCGAACCACACTAGGTGAGGCTTACAGATATAATTGTGAGAAAATGCAACCATCAGTCATTCACTACTTTAAATCACTTTTAGGACTACAGTTTTTATTCAAGTTCTAGTTTAAATAATACTTTATTTTGCCGCTATGAGCTAATCTGCTATGGTCGTTGATGTAGTTGCCTCTGGGATCATAATTTCTGGGTTCGATTTCGATCAGAGATTTGTTTTTGTTCGAAACTGCCGTCAACTTTGGATAAGAAAGCAAGTTGTCCAATAAGGCCAAGATAGTTGAAGATACGAAGAAAAACTGGGTTTCGATTAATCTCTTGAGATAACATTGTTAGAGGGACTTTCATTTTGTATGAAAGTGAATGAAGAAGAGATTCGTTGGTCAATCTCACCAGAT